ATTAATTTTTTTTTTTTATAAATATACATATGATACAATATGTATACGCACATAGTTTTATAGCCGCATCGAACTCTCCGTTCCCAGTCAATAACAAATAATGAAAAACATACCAGCCGTCAAATACCCACGTCGAAAAGTTGTTCCCCTCGTCCCTCGACAGCTCGGCATAAATATTGTGTTTTTACATCGTTTCTGAGCAATAGATAAAGTGCGTGCCCGAGAACGTGCTTGAAGAGGAAGTACAATAGATTTTTTTTTTTTTTTTTTTTTTTCACCAACTTAACACACGGGCTCTTTTTTACAAACTTCTTCCCGCACTTTGAATCAACTTTGTAGACGTAATAGGAGCACATTTGGAAGAAAACGCGTGTATACAGGAAAAAATTCGCTTATCTCGACACTTTGTCTATTGCTCTGTACACCCATATCTTCGTTTCGTTATCTTTGGACAATCTCAACGGCGATACATACGATTGAACAGTGATTTTGAATTTGTCTTTGTTGTACCAGTTTAAAATAAATTACACGAGCACGTGTACGGATCCGTATACGTAATATTGTATGCGACTTTTGTATTTTGTACGTGAATATACATATACAATCATTCGAATGTCGAACGAACAAAGAGTTTTTGATACTTGGACTGTTGTTGTGTAACTTTGTTCCCTGTTGTGTATCCTTTCAAATGATTATCCTCATTTTTTTTTTTTTTCTTGCAAACAATCGACAAGTTTCATTACGACGTGATATGCAATTATTTTTGTCGAAGATCAGGTAAGTTTGTGTCGAAGCATCGAAATTAATTGTACATCGTGTGTGTATGTGAAATATCCTTAAAATTAAAGTGCCGTTTGATTTGTTCTCCGCTAAATTAAAGTCAAGCAGAACACCGTATCGACCTATATATATATCGAAATCAGTAAAACCTCCGTTGACTAGATTGATTAGTTCGACTAGAGTTATCATTTTATAACTTGTTATAATCTTTTTTTTTTTAATTTTATAAACTTTGCTCTCATACTTTTTGACTGTACTACAAATCGGGGAAAAAAAAAATGCTATCGTCAGAGTAAACGCAAGCATCAAACGTATATAATCTTTATCGTTAAAAATCTAAAATCACGATGACAATCACCGCATGATAATATTCTCGACTAATTAAACGATAGTAAAAGACTATCACATATTATACTCGTTTTTTTTCATCATCATCAAGTATCAAAGATTTAAATTTATATGAACGAATCTGCTGCCAACGTACTGTTAATATCATTCGTCGTAAATACATCACGACTAATAGACGTATCTATTTATAACAAATCTTTCGCTTTACAAACTTANGCGTAAAAGCGTGTTTGTAAGTACATCCATCTGAGAAAAATAATTTCTATCGTTGCTGAATTTTGCGTTCCTCCCACTTCTCTGAATTTTCAGCTGAACTTTTCCCGTATTAACTATGTGATAAACTTCCGTAAGTCAAAAAATCACCTTAATCACAAAGAAAATATTGTGAAAGAACAAAAGGCAATAAAATCAATTATTGTATTCAAACAGTACAAAATTATAATTATATTCTCTCGAGGTATTTTATGTATATATGTTTATAAAATTGTACTTAGCTACGTCAATCCGTTTTTAATCCGGCGAAGCCACTTCCGACGACCAACTGGTCCTTGGGAAAGTCCAAAACAACGGTCGCGTGAAACGCCATGTTCGCCGAAGCTATCACGTACTCGCACAGAGAAAACCAGCTGAACGCTGTTGCGGAACAACATTATCTCGATTAGTTCATTGACAATCAAAGTGATAAAGTGAGAAACAGGGAGGGGGAGGGGGGTGTTCCACATTACCCAAATCGTGGCACAACAATCGATGCTTCAAGAAGAAGATAATAAGGCCAACAGTGCTGACGATGCTCGTTGTGAATAGGACTTGTTTGTACTGCAAACTTTGTGCATTTGGCGTAACGAGCCGGCCCAGTTTGACGGCAACCAGCATGTGAAAGAGCGAACTTATCATGAACACTATGAAGGTCTTCTCGTGCACGGCTGGCGAAAAAAAAAAAAACAAAAAACCATCGAGACATGATTGTATACACACTTGCGAGAGCTTTCCACGCCGGACTTACCGTAATTTTCTCGGTTGGAGATGTAAGTGACGCCGCAGAGCGCGGCGACCTCCGCCAAGTTCAGCCAGTAACAAACGTTCAAAAGCTTGGATCCGCGGAGCTTCGTCGGCACGTCCAGGATGTCGCCGATGATCTTGAGGTAGAACGAGTAGTAGACGCTGGCGATCAGGAGACGCGGCCCAATGTGCAGGGCTATGCTCACGCGCCACAAGTACCTCTGGGGCGATACTCCGGTGATGGCCGATATCGACGGAAGGACATTGTACACCTGGCACGGAAATAACAAGTCGATGAGTAAGAAGAAGAAGAAAAAAAAAAAAAAAAAGAACAATGATAACAGTAGTTGGCAAAAAAAGGGTATAGTAAAGTAAACCAGCTCACCCTACAGTGGGTCTCGTGTATGTCGTCCTGTTGGTAAATGTAAGCCGTTACGAAGCAAAAGAGCAGGGTGGCCAGGGGTATCGATACCGTGACGATGCACAACTTTCTAAATGGCACGACCAGGTACACGGAACCCTTGCTGCCGGCGACATTGTTGACCTCCATGCTATTGCGGCCCGGCATCGGCCCGCACCTCGCGCTCCAGGAACTTTAAAGTAGTCGTAGCTCGGCGCGACAACTCCGAAGCATGGCTTTATGGGAGGCGCGGTGTGTGTGTGTGTGGACGGGTGCGGGTTTCAGCTCAAATAGCGACTATTTTCTTGCAGTTCGCTTCCATATCTGCCTTTCGCTCGCTCGAGTGGCCCGTGTTGTCATCCTCTTCCAGGGGATTATTTTTCCACCTGCAACACGAACGGCACAAACAAGGGTTCTTACTGTATAGGTGCGCCTTGGCTGTGTACATGTGCAGTGTGCTCCCGGCTGTGCTGTGTATATATATACATTGCACAGGTGACCCACAGCCGAGGCAGTAAGTGACAATATGTATAGGCTTCGTCGGTGCTTCGTAATTAGTTTGCCCTTCGCCCGATCGAAGCGATAATGAACCTTGGAAGCGGGATCGGGGCGGCTCTGATGAATCATCGGCAGGGGACAAACAAAAGAAATCCGTCTAATCTCCCCCAGGTGGAGTCTTATCAAATATAATCAGCGAGCGCCGCGTTATCCGCTCGGGATTAGATAACACTTTTGGTCATTGATGTAAATGTAAAAACAACAACAGCGGCCCCCGAAAATCGATCGGATACGCAAACCAACCCCTCGACCGATTGATTTTCTCGCGTAACCCACTTTTTATTTTTTCTTTTCTCTTTTTTTTTTTTTTTTTTTTTTTTTTTTTTTCTATTAAAATCAAAGTAATGGTATCCGGGTACCTTACCAGCAGGGCTTCTTGTACGTTTTTACTTAAAAGGATATATATATATGTACAAAGGTATTTGGGAGTGGGTCACAGTGATCTGATTTGTGAAGTACGTTTTTTTTTTTACCGATTTTAACAATTTTCAATTTCAATATTTTCTATAGTTCTCTGTCAATCGCTCTTTAATCAGTTGTATGAGGTAAGAACTTTGTTTCTTTGCACTCGATCACATTCATGATCAATACTTGTCATATTTATTTTTTCATAAATCTTTTGGCTCATGAAGTTAATAGAAACGTATCACGTACCTACTTTTTCGATTGCCCTCCACACAAAACCATGGGATTTTCCGTTTGACTTTCAGTGCGATATTTATTATAATCTCTTTGGGGTAAGCTAAAAGTAAAAAAAAAAAAAAAAAAAACGTTATTCTTATTGAGTACCTATTGGAAAAAAAAAAAAAAAAAAAAAAAAAAAAAAAAAAAGGAGAGAGAGAGGGGCAAAAATTCAAAAGAAACAGAACCAACGGACGCCCTCTTTTAGCTCATGTGGCACGTCTCTTCGAGCACTCGTGCAACAAGATTAATCCAACTTGGAGGACGGAAACNAAAAAACAAAAAAAAAAAAAGACCGTGTATCGATTGGCTTTTACAGCCTCGCGCGACCATCATCATGACTAATTGGGTTACACGGGGCATGTAGGTGACGGCACAGAAGTAGAAATAAAGAAGAAATATCGAGCGAATTGCAGAGGTAGAGAGTCGAATGCAGATACGGTGATGTGTGTTGTTTTCGCGGCAAAAGTGGAAACGGGAGCGGAAGGATGGTCACTGCGTGCGTCTATGTGTAAGTGTGTTTTATTTTCGGACGAGCGCCAAGAGAAAGGGGGGGTGAGAGGGGGGGGAGGTGACGAGGGTAGTAAAAGAAACGGAGAGCACGCACGATCCGTGTGTAAGGCCTTGCACGCTCGCACACTGTACTTGATCCCGTGAAGGAGATGGACAGCACCCGAAGGGAGCTTTGCACGGGTGGTTTTGTTACGCTCTGTGCAGCTTCACCGACACAACACTCCCGTGTGACGCAACGGCACGCGTCTATATGAGCGAGTTGTCAAAAGTAACGGAGCACGATAACGCATCGCGTAACAGCGCGGCTGAGGACAAGTTGAAGGATACAGGATGATGAGCGCACGCATACACGCACTTACCCGATGCGCTCGGACGAGCCTCCGCCACGCGTCGACAGGTTTTTTTTTTCGGATGAGCCAAGCGCGCGAGCACAAAGCTCGAGACACACTCTCCCTCGTCTCCGGCTGATCCTCCTCTCGTCCGCAGCTGCTGATACGGAGCTTTCGGGACGGCACTGCGCGCGACATCTGAGGTTCGACCCTTGGAGCTTCTCGTGTAGGATCGAGGGGTTATTATCAATGTCAGAGAGCGGAGCGCTCTGCTCGAGAAACGGAGCGGTCGATGATGCAGGGCACGCCACTTTCTTTTCGTTATTCGCACGTTTTTCAAAAACTGGTTTCCTTTGTACATTTGTTTCGCCGTACAAAGTGATCAAACACTGTAGAACAGCGGAGCGCGCGTTCGAGCGCTGTTTTGAATTTCGCGGGTAATCGAAAAGCCCCGGACACTTGCGCCCTCTGCGGCGAGCTTTCGCCGCCAAGTGCTGCCCTCGCGACTTTTGCCTCGTTGCTCCTTTGGAAACATATTATCAAAAATGCACTTTGCTGGTTGCACCACTTGCACCCTTCCTTGGCAACCCGGTGTCTACGAAAGCTCGTCCCCCTCGTCCACAAAATTACTAGTCCAGGTAAATGGCCCTCAGTGGTTGCACTCGAAGACACTCCAGGCGAACAAGGAGAATATCCATCCTCTCGATCACTGCCAGTCGTTTTTTTAGCAAGAGACAACTTTAGCGTCGTAAAATTTTTGAATGGCCCGAGGCATCGGTAATTAAGTTTCAAAAACCCTTGCTAAGGGCAGCCAAGCGATAACAACCTGTTGCCTCGGATTCCGCGAGCGGCACACATACACACACACACACACACACACCTTTCCATCATGGCCGACCCGATGATGCATGTGGAGAGGGGCCCTTCCATCCGACCGTACCACCCATGATAAACATAAAATTTGACTGTTTTTAGACCGATTCAAACGATCTCGACATAACGATCTCTATCGGCACGCGATCCCTGCGAACCCAGAGAGTCTCTTGACGCATTCGGGTGTCCTGCAGATCACAATTGGTACACGCAGCATCCTTCCGTGGAACAGCCCAAACAGGCTCGCGTTCGAAAACTCCCGTGTCCCCTCTTCCCTCCGCCCCGTGGGCCTCTCATATAATCGTCTCTTTCGAGAGAGTCAGCCAACCGTATATATACATATATGTACCTACGCGCGTATACCTGCACCGATGGGCATATCGTGGGGGGAGAAAAAAAACGCTCGCTCTCAGGATCGGACGGCCCAACAGCGAGCGCTCATACCTTTCTCCTCCCCAACGTGCCCACAAACTCAAGCGCGCACTCACACGCGCGTGTAGTACCGATCTCTCGGGCTGGCTGCAGTCTCCTCTCTCGAGCGGGAGAAAGAAGAAAAAGGTAAAGGAGGGCCGGCCAGCCGTGTCGCGGCTACGGCGGCAGTCTCTCTCCCCTCGTCGACCCCGACGAACCTGTTGCGCGCCACTGCCGCCGATACACACTCACACACACACACACATATAGGTCCTTCGGTGCTCGCCACCGTGTTGTTTCTTCCTCTCCTGTGTTTTTAATACCCCAAAGGAAACAAGGCTCCGTGAGGTGCTGTAAAACGTGATACGTCTCTGTTCGCACTGCCCGTCCAGGAGAAGCAGGAGAGGAGGTGGAGTAGCAGGTGATGCGTGCCCGCCACCGATCTCGTTTTCTTTCCTGCTCCTTCGTTGCCGATTTATTTTCGCGCCACCAGCAGCCGGGAGCCCCACCAGTTGATCCTCGAGCGGCTGGTGCTGTGGATGCGGCTGTATACACACACACACATGTCATATACATACATAAGAGCTAGGGGCATGGCCGATCCTTGCTTTTTTCATGACCCCCGGGATTTGTTGTTCGAGCAGTGAGACATGTCGGTGAGCCTCGTTCCGTTGTTCTTGTGCAGATAAGGCGGGGTGCCACTGAATGTATAGTTATTTGTACATAATTGTATATACACACGGTGTTGGAAATCGCGAGTGTTGTGCGATGATATGACGATCCTTGGCGATCGCCGATCGTTGCCATGACGATTGGAGGGCGAGATCGCCGCAAGATGCTGTTGGTGGTAATGGCAGCGACGATGACGTTGTGCCGAGTGCCCGCGAAGATGAAGATGAAGAAGTAGCTTCACTATACAACCACCACCACCACCACCAAGATCGCATTGTTCTTTGAGGAAGGAGGTGTAGATCCGAGGGGTGAGTACACCTATATATACCTTTTACCGATAAGACGCTGAATCCGTACCTTCGTTTCGAGTGTACAGTTATGAACACACACATATGTGTATCGCTAGGGCTCACCTTGTGTATAATACCCTTGGCTGCGCACCTGGTCGTCCCATATTACATCCGCATCTCCGATTTTTCACCAACTCGACATCGTCCCCCATCTTGCCTTTGGCCCTTTGAAGGACTTTTTTTTTATTTTCAATTTATTGTCACTCCAACGCGAGATATTAAAAATTGAAAGTCGTAAGTTGCCGATTTTGCAATACCGTTTCAGTGATAAGCTGACTCGCACTTGCGGTTACTTCACGATGAAAGTGATTTTTTGCGATGTCAATGAGCCACGTACATAGTTCCGAAGAATTTATCATCGAAATTGTGTATAAATTATGTGGATTCTCGTTTATCCAACTGTTGCGGCATTCCTATGGTAATAAGAGACATTTGAGTACTTGGCGCGACACAGTTTGTGTGGGTTTTCTCGCGTCGTGTGTATTATATACGTGCCAAAATTTATCGCTCTTTAATTTAACCTTTTTTGCCTCTCATTGCAACAAGTGTGTGTCCCCACAGCGAGCGTATACAGAGAAAAGCTTAATTTTCAAAGCTCCTTTGTATTTAAAAATGATACGCGGTCAAATTAAAACGTAGCTGTTCCATCCGATCCGATGCCCTCCCGAAAGAGCATTTTCCAAGAAATCCGACTACAATATCACCAAACACTTTCAACACCAGTCCGTGGCGGCTGCAATGACGCACCGTAAAACCTTTTGTCCTCCGCAACGACAGCTGCAAAGCGCTGCATGTATTATAAATACGCACCGACTCGTCGGGCGCGAAGAAAAAAGCCGAGCGCACCCAACGGCTTATCTCCGACGACGGAGCCACAGCTAGGCTTGTGTACGGTGATGTGTATTGTTCACGGAGCGCCAACCCATAATGCGTCTGACTGATACCCACATCATATATATAATGTATACGCATGAATTTTCTTCCCTTCGTTACTTACGTGCATTGTATGGTATACACATACGAGACAACGTCAATGCTCGCGAAGGACATTCTCCGTGCGACGACAAAGCTCGGGTCTCCAGTTTGCAATAATTGTACCCACCCCGAGGGCTCCCTCTCTCTCTTTTTTGTCTGCCGATCGGACAACACTTGCCCTCCGACGTTTGCACACCGACAGACTTGCATGTATACACACGCATACGGAATAAATATATTCAAGCTGGTGTATGTAGAGGAAAAAAGCTTGCCTCCGCAAAGCGAAAGCAAGTACCTTAATGCGTTCGAGTCCCTCCTCGTGTGCACGCGAATGATGCGACGTGCGTCTACTAACACAAAGGGGGGGACACGCGCTCATGTGGGCAAGTTATAAATAAAATAAAAAATGAGAGAGAGAGTCCGGGAGACGTGATTAACCTGACAAAAATGCAGCGCGTGACAGAATGTCACCGAGAGATCTTCGCCGGCTCGACGCTTAAAATCCTACCACTAAGCGGATACAGGCATACCGTGTATCTATACCTTTGAAGCGTCTCGATTTCTTTGTTCGATCGGATTTTTTTTTTTTTTTTTTGAGTTTGATGATTTTTATTGGCTTTTTAACATTAGTTACATAGCCATTTCTCTCAGAACAAATGATATATTTGCATGTTGTTATCTCTTACATTAATGACATATTTTACTTTTCACACAAATACATCTTTGATATTCACTTAAATGCATTATCACCAAATAGACTATATTCGTTTATCTATGCTATCTATAAATTTTGCTAATATATAACTTACTCTAGTGTCATTTTCTAAAGATAAATTAATTACAGAGTATGGACCATATTTGACTATTTTAGTTAGTTCTTTTATCAATAGTTTTCTTTCTTTTTCAAAATTTACACATTGCCAAAATACATGTTCAATATTGTCTTGAGTTTCGTTACATTCGCATAAGTCACTAGGTACTATTTTAAATCTAAATAAATGGCAATTAAGCGAAGTGTGTCCACTTTTTATTCTATTTATGGAGACTATCGATTTCCTTGACAAATTTGAATGGTTCAAATTTAATTGTTCGATCGGATTTGTACGGAAGCTCGATCACATCTGCAATAAAAACGCATAAGCGTGATCAAAAACACGTACGAGTGCACGAAAGCGCGCACACAACAAGTTGCAAAGCAGACAATTTTTATTTCATTTACTTAAGTACAGCTTATAATTGTTACATCGTTACGTGGGAAAGAGATTTGTTCAAGAGACTTTATACATATATATTTACTTTGGATTTTATCATTTTGTAGTAATCATAAGTTTTTATCATAAGTAGTGCCGTATGGTCGATTTTATAAGCCATATAAGACGAGTAGAATATTTATACTTTGAGAGGTATATTTTCAGATAAAAGATAGACTATAAACTTGCCGCAAACAGCATAAACAATGTTAAATTTTTATTTTGTATTCATAAAATAAGTTGCGGCTGGTTTATGTTTAATTACATGGCTCTACTGTAAGTAGTAGTGATTATTTGGATCAGCGCCATCTAGCGTTGCGGATTTCTGAACTAAAAAGTGGCCCTAAACTTTTGAACCAGAGCTTTAGCGCTTAGAGCCATTTAATCAAGTATAAACCAGCCGCAACTCATTTGGTAGCTAAAAAATGGAAAAATAACGATACGTGTGTTTTTGACGGCAAGTTAACAATCTATCTTTTGCTCGAA